GTGCACACTTTAATTATACAATCAGGTTAACAGTAATTAGGCTGCCTGTATGGATTTACATAAAAATAATGCTATTATGTTGGTGTGCAGGCACTTAAATAGCTGGTCTTTCTCCTGTGTATGCACAGGAATTCTACACTGCGCTCTTACTTTTTTGCATCTGAGAAGATACATGATTTTTCACTAACCCATAGGCCAAGAAAAATATTAGATTTATAAAGTCCATGTGCTAGATTTAGTTTTCAATTTATTTTTTTCTTTTCTTCAACTTTCAAGATATTTTAACTGTTGAAGGAAACCCATCACTGAGGAAAGGAAAGGGCTACTGTGCACTTCAGTCAGTCATCCAGTTTGAACAACTGGAAAACCAAGACTAGCATAAGAGTATCAAATTTCTTTTCAACTTTTTAAGCACTAGACTGAAATGCAAAGAATAACAGTACCTAGGCTGTAAGCAACCGGTGTCACTAGGAAAAGTGCCCAGCCAAAGCTCAGCTAATAGCCCTTAAAATGGCCATGTAACACTAAACTGGAGCTTCCCTAACATGATAGGAGTACAACTGGAATCTTTAAGTGGTAAGAAAACTGCTGAAGCCATGTCCGGCTCAGCCTGGCTTTGGGTAAAACTCAATGGGAATGACTCCTTGTTAAATATAAGCATCACCAGATCCTTTCAACCTATTTTCTTCCATGTAATAATGGCTTTTCGTTTCAAACTCATTAACTTGAATGACCTTGTCACACTTACTGAAGTAACTCAAGCATTTTCAGCACTAGTTGGAAGAAGCGTATGTAAACTGTTCATCTTCAGAGATCTTCCTACTGATGAGAAACTAAGTGCAATGTTTCAGCCTCTGCAGTGGTTCAGGCTTTTGAATTAGTCTTGTCTGACTAGAGAGCACTCTCTAGACTTTTAGCAGGATGAAATTTGGAAGCATTTTGATGACTCCATGACTTTCCACTGCTGCTAACTCCATGTGGAAACTATTTTTTAGAAAAGTACTTACAGCATTTATTACTGAATTGGCCACCTTCTCTGATTAGATGGAGTTGTTAAAACCAAAGTAAATGCTAACTCAGGGCTTTAATCCATCTATGTAATATTCTCTTAAGTACAATGCCTACTACTCCGCCTGCCTCTCGCATGACTTTTTCATTAACAAAGTGTTTACTGCTCTTGCTTTCGGTGTAAGTGCATGTAGCCCAGACACATTTTTTGTTTCTTTATTTCTCTTCTGTTTTAAACTCATAGCTAGGCAGTAGAATGTCAGTTCTCCGTGGGATTTTCTAGCAAAATAGCTTAAACAGAAATCTTAGGGAAAAGCATGAATTAGCTTTTGCAGAGAAGTGAAAATTGATAGACTGAGAGGAAACTTACTACTCTTCCATGAATTTCAGATTACGTGAAATGTGCCATAACTTTACCTACATTAGGGAAATTATATGAGCAGATAAAATTAAAAACTTCAATTAAAAAAGCCTGAGGTAAATTACTAGCACTCTGGAACTACTTGTGTTATAGAAGTCTGCTGAACAGGAAAGACACATTAAAATTGCACGTAAATTTTGAGGATTTAATTCTAATTTTATGTTGAACATTTCCGAAGAGGCCTAAGGATTAATTTCAGAATGTCCTTGTAGACATGAAGTCAACCAGAGCTGTGACTGCAGTAAAACTGTGAGCAAAAATATATTAATAAACACAAATCAAGAAAACAAAGATAGGTTTGTGCTGAGCTTAAAGATGGAGGTCCTCCATTTCCCATGTATCTTCACTGGTTTCCAGAGACTTCCTTCAGATCTTCAAATCAGAAATATGACTATAATAAACTTTTAAATGTCCAATCTGTTGTGGCACTCTACGTCTTCACACCTGTTTTATGTTAAATCTCATGAAAGTCCTTTGAGGTAAGAGTCAATCTTTGGAGAGGAGGAAGAAATACAGATTTTCATACTAAGAAATAACACATATTCTCAATAATTCACCTCTGTAAGAAAAAGCTCCCAAGTGATGGTGGAAAAGAGATATAGATCCTCTGATGTGTGCTTCAGGATTTCAGTGGAAGCTCTAACTTTCAAGGGAACAGGGTAAGTTATGGACCCTTTCCTGGCTGCATAAACGTAATGCACATCGAACAGCGGAGCGCTGGTACCCTGTCAAGACCTGGGCTGTTCCACACACTCTAAAAAAAACCCATCTAAATTACTGTTATTTTTGCAGGAGGCTCCCTCAGCCTCTGACCTCAGGAGTTGCTGAAGACTGTCTCACAGAAATCTCTCTTCCAGCAGAGTTCTCTGGTGTGCTAGAGACCTGCTCTGCGGAGCCCCAAAGAAGGCCGCGAAGTTTGGCAGAAGGATGGAGTAAGCAATGCAGCTGTCTAGGAGAGGCTGCAGACTGGACACATCATCTTCAGCACCAATTATCAGCTGGGAAACAGCAGGCATCAGGTAAATGGGTACCTGGTAGTTTTCTCCCTGCCACAGACGGACACTACCACCAGTCCAAATTCTGCCCCAGAACTTGTGATGTAAAGTTACATTTTTCTGAACTGCGTTTGTACTGTTCCCATTTTTAGCTTCTCCGCTTTTTATTGTGTAGCTTTAAAAAAACCCCAGATCTTGCCTTTTTATCTGTTTAGCAAATGAGGACACTGATTTTGCATCAAATTAATTTGATATAAAATTCTTTTGATGAATCGCATTTCAAGTTCCTCAAAACCATTTCCGCTTGCTTCTGTCTCCTGATATGATCGAAGTACAGGATGACTAACATTGTCCTGAAACACTTTGTGTAACTTCAGCTTATGTCTGTCTCGAGAAGCAGCAGACAGATGGCCCTTTACTTTTTACTCTCCTCTGTGTTCCATTCCAATGGCTTCATTAGAAGGTGGTGACGGCTGAAAGCAAATCTTTAATTCAGTGATGTATGCTGCATGCTCAAACACCCGACTTGGTAGCACGTAACTGAAACGATCACAAGGTCGGGCTGACTTACTTTCAGCAATCTTTGGCCCTTGATACCAAACTTAAACACAAGGAACATTATGCTGCCTTCAGAAATTAGGGTTCAGGGGGAAGGGAGGGTTCTAAACTGGAGAGTGTGTTAGAAAATGGGCTACTGGGTTTAAACATTTAATGCGACCTTAGCATTGTTAAGCCAATTACATTTCAGGTGATGGGACATGTAAGAGCTGAATTCAGTAAGGTGGGTTTTGTCCTGGTAAAACAATGTAGTAACTTGAAGATTATCCACATGGCCTGTCTAAAAACTACACTGAAGACAATTCAAGAAATGTTCCATTTTCTAGAAAAGAAATTAAGCATTTAATTTTTGATGAAGCAGACAGAAATTTTACTCGTTTAGCTTGAAAAAGCCTCAAATAAATCAGAATAATTTCTATCCCCTAACAGCACAGCACTTCTAACAGGAACATAGCTGATTTTCAATGGAAAGGCATACACGTAATTCAACCAGAAGCACACAAGACAGAATATCCCTCCATGCGCAGTTAGGAGACACTGTGAACTTGACAACTTCCATTTTGCCGCTCTTCTTAAAAATAGTTTTCTTATTTATACAAACCTGAATGCAGCCATCCTTGGAAAAGGGTCTTAAATTTACCCAAGAGCGTGAAGTGACACACACAGTAGAGAAAAGGGGAATAATTAAGTTTGGATAACTAGTAAGATATTGTATCATCTTACTCCAGCTGTAATTCCTTCTAGCTGTAAGACTTTTGGTCTGATGTTTTTTTATTTTTAAATCAAAACTTAACTGCTAGAGTTAGGCAAAAAGTAATTTATTGCCTGAAAGTTTTCACAGTGATTTTTATTTCACAAGATAAGAAGACAGTTGCATGAGGAAAAACAGAACTGGGGAAAAAAAAAATAACCCAAACAGTAATTTTGGTCCTAGAAGCAAATGACAGCACTAGCTAGCTGCCTTGCAACGTAAATGTGCCTCCTTCAGGACACTCCAGTAAGGACTTCACAGGCAATCTTTGGGCCCAACTCGTGCTTCTGTCACCACTCTTCCCTTGCAGCACCTGTATCTGTCTGCAGAAGAACACAGGGTCTTCCAGCAGCAGCTAATTCCACAGACGTGAGCATAACATTAAATTTTTAAATCAAATGCTGCAATTAACTTGCAGGATGTTGAACCCACAGTAGCAGAAGACATCACATTGAGAGTTATGAATACAAACTCTGCCTCCAAACCTTGATAGAGAAACAGTGACTTGGGAAGAGCCATTCTCTCCATGTCCTGTGACACTGAAGAATTTTAACCTTGTGAGCTTCATTTATGCAGGAAAAAGACTCGCGTAACAGATACATGAACCTTCTTGCTTCTCTACCCTCTTATTAAAGGTCCTTTCACTGTGACATTGCATCATGTTAATCAACAATATGCAGCATAACATGTGGGTTGACTGTGGTAAAAGTCTGAGCTAGTAAAAGTAGCTGGCTGATAAAATGTGAAGCACGACAGCCTCTGCTATTATGAATCATTTTGAACAACTGTTCTAATGAAAGCTAGAGAGAAAAACTTGGTGGCTTTGGTTTTTCTTCCTTCCCCTCTAGGACCATCAAGGTCACACAAGATAAAACACCACTGTTCAGCTGACCACGGTACTTCATAGGGTTAAAACATTTATTCTGTGGTTTTAACAAACAGTTCAGAATTGTATCTGCAGATGACTATCTGTGCAACGCCGCCACCTTACACAGTCCTGGTCAATCACATGCTGCCTTCTTTGGTAAGTGCTCATTTAACAAGCTTTACCTGTATCTAGTTCTTTCCAGGATAATAAAAATACAAAAATCTGATACAATTTATTTTTAAAAGTGGGATGTTAGAGTGCTCTAGATTTTTAATCTCTAAAATACTTAGTGTGATTTTCATTTATCCCCAGTCTTTCACAAGAGCCTTTCGTTTATCCCCAGTCTTTCACAAGAGCATTTTATTTATCCCCAGTCTTTCACAAGAGCATTTTTTTTTGCCTTTCTTTTTTTCCCTTTTTTTTTTTTTTTTAAAGTGTCATAGACTGCTGTGTTGGACTGAAGCTGTCAAAGTTGCTAATACGGAAGTTAGCAACAAAAACTGAAAATGAGATTGTATCTCAAATACTTGTAACATTTTCTTACCATCACAGCATGGAAGTATCCCTCAGCAGGGTATAATATTTGGCTGCAGCTATTTGAGCAATCTGAAGGAAGTACTTATTTTTTAACTCTGCAGGGAAGCTTGAAAAGTGGCTCAATTTTTTTTTTAGTTCTCTTTAATTCACAGGAAGAAGAAATACATTTTTAAAATGTTTATTCAGCTTCGAATATGTCTTCTAAAGATAGCTGTGGTATATTCGATATACATCTTCCCTCGTTCCTTCAAATACACTTAAGCTTTGAGGTAATTTAGGAAAAAATATATGAACACTTTTAAAAAATAAAAGCAAGAGATCAGTAAAAAAATTTTAGGCAGGATAAATAGAAAAATACGCTGTCTTCCTTTCACTACAAATAGTTTCAGCATAATGCACTTCAAAAAGCAAAAGAATCAAGTCGCTAAGTCCAAAACTAAGTGTATTTGTCACGCAAAACTGACTTAAGCAAGCATTTCACCTGAGTTTACATTTCAGGGATTGGGCCCATAGCAAAAGAAGACAAAGCATCCAGAGGCAGATCATCCCATGCCATTTTTCCCCTTACTTAGAGAGGTACAGGACGGAATAGGGGGAAAAAATCAGGGGGGGTGGGGTGGGGAGGAGAGGGGGGGAATCAAACCTTGTCTTGGCTGGCTCCATGTGGGCAAAAGATGGTCACTCTCTATAGCAGCATCTCCACTCATGCCTGTGAGCCAGTACTAAGTCTGCCAGTATCATCTTACCTACACAAAAGAACCTATATCTAGGGAGATTTTGGGCAACGTTAGCAATGGTGTCCTGCAATCCCAGAGGGACCTTTCAGTTTGAGGAGTGTTTTCCAGAGATGCAAGGCACTTGCTGGGAAGGCCTGAGATAAAACCCATGAGTTTAGAAGACGGTCCTCTGCCCACTGAAGAATAAGGGTATGCCACACTTCCTCTGTGAGAAAATTCCAAAGGAACTCTGATTTAAAACGTGGCATCTTCTAGCACACATGAAAATTATTCCTTTGGAAAGCATGATTTCACCCTCTCATTTATATGCTATATTGGAAGACTGCAGTGCTCTAAGTGAAGTATTTTTACAGTTGCAAAGATATTTTTTGGGAATGACATAGGCAACGCAAGTTATAGTTCTTTAGGCTGCATGAAAAAAGCTAATCAGAGTCTTCATCGTCGAGGTATTCCTCTGCATTACTTAATGTTCGGACTGTACCTGGAAAGAAAAAAAAGTGCTCCCTTAATCCAGGATAAAATCAGAAAAATCCTCACTTTTGCAATGCTTGCAAACCAGCATCTGAGAAACCTGACTCCTCTATCATTTAGAGATGTTATGACTACACAGATGGGGCTGTAGATCTGGATCTCAAAGGTAACACTAAGCCAGTAATCACATCTCCTACATACGATATTTAGTCTGTTTGTGACCTTCAGGAGCCATCTTCTGGCTCCTTGGAACCTGTACAGCAGAGCTGGAACTCTTTAATTCTATTTTCTGCATATATTACCTTTAAATCACAACGGAAAGGATGGGCGAGTTCAGGGAAGAGCCTCTATGTTTTTATTCTGATTGCCTAGCTGGCTGCCATTCTCTACTTAAAATTAAATGCATTCCAGTTTTCTCCCCCCTCCCTCTTTTCTCACCTAGTTTTTTTCCTGAAAAAATAATTCCTAGATCTACTTCTGCTTTTGAAGAATAGTAAGCAGAAAACAGGAGTATTAAAGCATATTCCCAGATGTGCAGCAGGGTCTGGAGAACTACACCTACATTGGGGACTGTACAACGATAAACAGCATGGACTTTTTGTGATAGACGATTATTTGCCTACAGATTTTCAAATATATGGAAATAGGAATATGGATTATATATAATGTATATTATATTGTACTATGGAGAGCCAGGAGCCACAAGATCCTAGTCAGTCACAGCTTTGCAATAACATATCAAAACAAAGCATTAAAAATATCAGACATAACAAGACTGACATAATTTACAGAACTGATAACCATGATATCCTAGACTTCTGGAAGAAGAAAGATGAGTAAATTTAAAACTGACCGACTCGACTGTTTTAACAAAAGAAATCTAAGAGAAAAAAAAAATTCTTTTTTTTACTTTTTCAGTAGGGGAAGCAGCAAAGGAAGAAAGGAAAGAAAACAAAGAAATTGGAGAGCCCTGTGCTCAAGGGGCCATACTTCAGGAAAGGACAAATCCCATTTCCTCTGTATGACAACTGTTCCCTTGTTCAGGAGCACAAACACCACAATCTTTTTGCATTTCTACGACAGGATTTTAGTAACTTTCATTTCTTACAATATACTTCAGCAATCATGACATTTGAATATGTGTGTATACATGTAAAACACAAAACTGAACATTTAGAGTGGAGGCAAAGTAAGCTTCCTTGGCTAACCCAAAATGGTTTATAGATGGACTATGACAGAAGCCATATCTAAATAGGAACATATTTGAAACTGGGGACAGGAAGACTACTGATATAAGACTGAATCTCTGAAAAGAACAATTGTTTCACTCACAAACACTGGAAATACTGAAGTGTAGAATTGATAAACACAGAAGAATGAAATTAATAAAAATAACTAAGAAAATACAAAATCCAATAAAAGTGTACAGATCAGTGGCGTCACAGGAATTATAAAAGGCCAAATTAAGACAGAAAAACAAACGAGGAAGCTAATACTGAAATTGCAGTTAGACTGAGAATATCAGGTCTCATATCAAGGCAAACAAGAAAAGACAGTGTGCAAGAGTACCAGAGACTGGTGATAGATGAAGTGACTAAGGACGAAAAATCAGTCAGCCATGAAAGACAATTAATTTAAAGGGAGTGAAGCAAATGCACCAGAAATAGAAGATAAGTTACCTAGTATCAGAAAATGAAACAAACATTAATAAAATTATCAGGGACATCAGAACAGAGAATACTCCTGTACCAGATGCCTACAATTGACAGGCAAAGATGAAGTAAGTGCTCCTTACAGGGATTAATTTACAACAGAAAAAAAATACGGAAACAGAAGAAATTTTGCCCTTTATTACAACTGCCTTCTTCAAAGTCAAAACTGATAAAAATGATTTGTTATAGTTTTCTCTGAAATCCTGATGTTACTTCTATCAAAAAGCTGGACAGTATTTCTGCTGCAAGTGCTCTTCTTGGCCTTCTAAAGCCACAATCAGCTATTCCACCACTTAATTCCCATAACTGCTAACCACCTGCAGGTGAGCATTCCCTCAGTTTTTGCTAGCCCTGCAACAATACAGTTGCTAGACTGCATATAGCACTGATAGAAGCTGTAACTCTGCCTGTTTTTAAGTAATTTCTCATTTTATGTGTTAATTCATCTAGGGTTTCCACCCTAACTTCAGCCTCCTGAAAGCTACAGGTAGCAAGCATTATTTATGTGATACTGAACGACTCACTCTGTTCAGCTTTTTAAAACAGCCTTGTATCTCTTTAAATCTTTGTACATGGACACTGTGCTATTAGGACAGATGAACACAAGTGGGAAGCAGTGAGACTATTTTGATAAATACCTAAAAGCATTCTTTCTTCCTTTCTCTATTGGAGAGTGAATCAGAGAGACACAGAAATAAGAATTTTTTTTTTAAATGAGCTATAAGAAAATAAAAGAGGAGCGTCTGTTGGTGTTTGTTTGGCTTAGTTTGGAGGAACAGACAGACGTAAGGGGGAACACATCACATCATTTTACTCTCATACCCTGATCCTTGTGGTATACTGTTTTTAAAGTAGTTTCCATCCTTGCTTTCTTTCTCTCTCTACTCTGAAGGGCCTGTCTTCCATTTCCTTTCCTTTCCTTACTATTTCCACATAGAACCATAGAATCATAGAATGTTTGGGGTTGGAAGGGACCCCTAGAGGTCATCTAGTCCAACCCCCCTCTTCTGAATTCTTTTGCCTCTTGCTGAGACAAGATGGCATTTTGTGTGCAGTCTGCAACACTGAATGTGATAAACCACAGGTCTCTATCATAGCTCTGCCGAACTAACCCGCTCGAGTGAACCCTTCCAAACACAACTCTTAGCCAATGTAGCTCCCAACTGGTTTTTATGGCTATCAACATATTGATATTTGGTTAAAATACTAAGTGTCCTCTAAAAAGGAAAAATGTATCAGAATAACAAAATCAGAAATACCTGCGCTCTGTTTCTTCTTAAGCAGGGAAGCACAAGCGGCATTGGTTGCCATGTCTAAAGCCAGTTTCTTCTCATTGTTCTTCAGATCTATTCTTGCCCCTGTATAATAGAAAATTTTGATCATGACTCACTGTCCCAGCTATTTCTTGAGCAATGGTATTATGATATGAGTTTCAGTAGCATGGGTAGAACAGTAAGGGAATCTCATCTGTGGACTGCTCTGAAGCAGACTAAAAGCTATGGATGCTCTTCCACAAGCTACAGTTGGCTAGGCTAGCTGCTCTCCCTTTCTAGGAAGCAAATGTCATTGCTGTTTTGGGGTTAAGTGCTTAATTTTGTCTGCAAAGCAGGATGAAATTTATCTGGAGCAGGTGAGATGTCTACTTTCCAAACAGCTGCCAGAATTTTCTGCAAGGCTTATAAAGTCAGGCAGGTAAGCTGGCTAAGGACTGTACCTGGGTTATCCAAAAACAGTTAAAAAAAATACAGATTAATAAACGTTGAGGTATCTAGTCTGCCACACAGATTGTTGAAACCTTGGTGAAGATCTTTACCCTTTGCCAGCAGCATCTCTACAATATCTGCATAACCTTTCCATGCAGCAGCATGCAAAGCTGTGTCTCCCAATTTGTTCTGTGGAGTTAGAGGGAAAAGCAACAGGATTAAAATACAGCAAAAAAACTTTCAGCTTGTACCAAGGATGAATAACATCACACCTCTACTGTAAGGGTCTGTTGGTTTAACTTACCTGTTGGTTTAACTCTAGGTTTGCCTGGGTAAACAGAACATCCACTATATCTGCAGAAAACAGGGTGGGGGAAATAAAAATTAAAATTTAGTAAAATTAAAATAGGCTTTTTCACGTTCATTGTACAAATTTTGGTTAAGACTCAATGAAAGAGTGATCCAATCAGTTAATGAAAATCTGTAAGACAGTCAGACTGCATTGAGCAAAAAACTATTTGTCACAAAGAAATGCTACTGCATAAAATACCCAAACCAATACAAAACTTCTTTTTGGTCTGTCCTTCTTCCCACTCTGCTTCTAACAGCTGATTAGAATGCCTGCCTCAACAGCAACAAAAACCATACAGCATTTGATGGAGCTGAACCTCCCTTCTAGCTTTAACTTTTCTTTTAAAAAAAACTAGAGTAACATTAAAAAAATCCTGGCTTTATTATTTAGTACTGCAATTTTAGCACTCAGCCTAACAAGCAAATCAGGAAAACAAGAGAACAGTGATTTCAAATTAATTTTCCCATACCTTTGTGGCCTCCATGGCATGCCCAATACAGAGCTGTGTTTCCAGCTTTGTCTAAGCCATTGACCCCAACTCGATTATCCAAACACTCTCTCAACCAGCTTAGGTTGCCTGAAAGACAAATTCAGTTTTGATGATTTTTTTTTTCTTTGAAAAGTTAACAGAACCATTAAAGGCACATAGTTCTTTCTGAAGGATGCCAGTTCTTCTATGAACCAATGAGGGGGAAAAGTGATTAGCAGCAATTCTTATCATTCATAAAACAACCAGTCCAAGTCACACCAGTATCTTTTCTTCCACTCCCAGAAGACCTTCAGATCCTTATGTAGTTAAATGGATGGTACCAATTTTTTTTCCTGTGTATACAGAGTGGCAATTCTACCAGGCTGTAAACCAGCTCAGCTTCTGAAAGCTGCAAAGCTTATCAGATTATTTGTTCAAGACACTAGACAACCAAAACAGACAGGACATCTTCATTCTAAATATATTATTATTATGGCAGAAAACAAACAAATCATCCTTTAGCATTACACAACTGAAACCCAAATAACACTTACCACGTTTGGCAGCTTCGTGCAGTGGGTTATCAATAGACTCAGCTTGCTCTGCCACTGAAATGAAACAGAGAGTAAATTCTAACTCCTTCTGAAATGGAACAGGTATTTGACACCTGTGTGGAAATAAAAATTTGATTTATTCCAGAAGAACCAGAAATACATATTTGACTCTAACATGAAAGGGGATTTGTGAGTGATGGACCAGTCAGATGCAGTTCAATTTCTCGTGTACGGGAAAGCAATTCAGAGAAGAGTTTGTGAAAACTTCAAAGAACAGCATCAAATTGATCAGTGGTTGCAAGCCACTGGGAATCTGGCAATATTTCAACCTGGTTGTTACTTCACTTTCTACACTTGTAAGACAGTTTTGAGTAGTTGCATGTGACTAGGCTTTCAACCTACAGCTTCCCATCTGTAGTTAGGAGTGAATTATTTCCAGGGGGCCTAAGCTAAAAAAAACCACTGTCAGTAGGCTTCCTATTTGTTTTACAGATTTTTTTAATTTTCCCTGGAAAACTTGCAGGAGGTCTGCAAATCAAAACTGCTTAAACAATGACAGTAGTGATGGACAGATTGAAGTTCATGCTTCTGTAGACCTTTTGTTCATCTCACAAGGTTTTGCTAGAGAGGAGCAGCAATGGGTTCCTGGTCACTGTGCTGCTACAACAGCAAAAAGAAACTGAGCAGTACTGTGAAACAGCTGGAAGTGCAGCCATGGTCTGGAAACTCTTTTTTAAAAACTTCTTTTTTAGGTGGAAAACCTTGTGACTACTAAGGGTACAGGTGAAATGAGTAGGTTCTCTAAGCCCTTGCACCATGGCTTGTTACAGGAGGCAGGGAGAATGAGAAAGGGTGTTCCTCAGATCAAACTGTTACTGTAATCAGATGCAATGAAGGCACCAGAAACAAAAGTCTCAAGACTGTTGTGGCCTATCCAGATCTTTTCTTACTTTGGTGTGTATTCTTCTTATAACGCTTGTAATTGCAAGATTTCTCTAGCTATGAGTAAAAAAAAATGCAAATGCTAGATTCTGATACTTTAGTTTAAAAAAATCTGTGCAAACAGTGAACAGAACCCTAAAGCAGAGTGGGAGAAGCTAGTCCCAGAGCAGAAGCCATTACACAAGCAGAACATGCTAGTCATATTGAGCAGTGCTTCTTGTGCGCAGTAGAAAGCACTAACAATGCTGTCTCAAAAGCCTAAAAACAACTCATGTCTTTAGAAAATTCTTGTCAGAAATTCAGTAATGAGTATTTTTAATGCAGATAACACTGACTCCGTCTTCATTAGCTTTTCCATGCACAGTCTTTTCAAATGTGTTCTTTCGAGCCTAGCAGATGGAGCACAAGACCCCACCAGAGATTCAGTAGTTTCAGGTCTGTCTCCACCTTTCGAAAAAACGTTGTAGAAAAGCACAGGAGATCATAGTGTTTCAGTGGTTAAGACTAAACCTAGGCAGTCCTAATGGTGGCCTTTGCGGATTTTGCCGTTTGTCTAAATCAGAAGACATATTCCTGGTACTCTTCATTTTTAGGGTCTGCAGAGGCTTCTGTTCTGCTTATCCATTAAATTTTTGTCAATGTGCAGAGACACCATCACCCCACACCACTCTGCCCCACCTAGAATGGAAGTTAAACTGTTGCTCAGGTAACTTTTCAGTAAAGCACTCTGGAAGCAACTTTTCCCAATGATTTCAATGGGAATGAACACAAACCAAATTAGTAAGTTGTTGCTTTTATTTTAACAAACTTTAATAATGTTGAGAAGAAATTGGATTGTCGGTAAGCATGTGTAAACTATTCTTCGTGTATATAACAGTGACCACGTCTGGCAGATGGCAAGAGTAGAATAAGTCTGGCAGATGCAAAAGTGAAATTTGATGCCATAGTCTCAATAACTGCACCGTAGGCTTCTATTCATGTATTTCTACTAACTACAAGTCACGGCAGGGAATCATAGCATTGCTACCATAATGTCTCGTAGGGAGGAAGGGACAACATGAAGCAATTGCAATTACTAACGTATTAGCAGTTTTGACACAACCTGTCATGTGACACTGCTACTCTGCCTGTATTTCCGTGGAGGTCTTGGAAGAGTTGTGCTGTGTTGTCCGTATTTATGGCTTTTCAAAGTCATTTTAGTTGAATCTGAAAAAGCAATTTCTATTCTGTCCAAACAGGTATAGGATATTTAATGTAGTGCAACCCCTACAAAGCCAAAGTTTTCTGTGGCTGAATATATTCATTAAAAAGCAACAAATGGCAAACAAAACAGACCTATTTCTTGGGGGCGGGTCTACAGAATTGGTCATAATCTGCTTTAGCTTCCTGTCCATGTGCAGGTTTACTTAACAATTCCAGTATTGATTATCTATCTCTGTTAGAAGCTACCCCACACTGTGTCATACATCTTGATCTCAGATACCAAAGGCTGCGGCTGTCCATCCTTAGGTCTTTTCTGAAGGAAAGTAGCCAAGATACAGCTAATGAGAAGGTCTTAAAAACTCCAATACATTCATTGAGGGTATCAAGAATACAAGCCTATCAGTTTCACGTGCCGTCTGTAAAACCATCCTTTAGATCCAAGCATTCTTCCCCTCAAAACTGAGAAGATCTATGGCTGTTACCTACATAACCAGAAATGTGAACACTTGGCAAACTCAAGCTGCCTCTAGGTTACAAAAACATGTGACAGCCTGTTCACTGCTGATGTACAGTGGTGAATGGATGCTAAAGGGTTAACAAGAGACCTTTGTGAAGCCAACTGTAGCTGGAATGTGATAAAAGCCCTGAGAAAACAGAACATCCTTGAGGAGGATCCAACATTGTGGTTTAGGTTAAACTTACTAACCATATGAGGTGAAAAACTGTAGACAAGAAACTAACAGTGTATGGGATGTGCATCATTAAAGAAAAAGAAGAGATTTGTAGTAAATTCCCTATCTTTGTTGCCAGCCTTGGAAGGCACGTAGGGGACAAAATGCTAGCATTTTGTCAACATGAGGATCGTCAGGGATGGGAACCATGAGACACGGAGGTAAAGGGGAATGTTTCAAGGATGGGGAGCTGGAAGGTACTGGCTGTGTTGTTCTGGCAGCAGAAGAAGGGGGGTAAAAGCCGAAGTTCAGCAAAAGGACAAGGTGAAGAAGAGGAGTGGAGGAAGTAAATGACCCCTGAAGACCACCGACTCAAATCACTGAGCATGTGCAACTGGGAGGAGACTATGTAAATTATTTCCAGGAATTAATTTACCTATCCCTGCCTTTTCTGAGGAATGTAATGAATAGGTACGTCAACTATGAAATTAACCCTGTGCAGCACGCATGTTAGGAGGAGTGATCCCCTGTGCGTCCGGTGCTGCAGTAAAGAATACCTGCTTAACAGTCACCAAGACTATTGAGTCCTGATTTCGGCTTTTCACAGCTTCATTGGCGAGTGACGCTGCAGATGTATTCTGAAATACTCTGGTAGATGACTGTTAAATGCACTACTGTGATCAGTTTTTGAAAATAAGTATAAGTTATTTTTATTTAATGATTTCCTTTGATTGTGTATGGTCTTAGCAAATGAAAATATTCTAGACATTACCATAGTTGCTTGGAATTAGTCCAGTTCTCCCTTTGCAAGTTCCTTTCCACCAGTTTGTATCACTCTGTAGACAAAAGGGAAAATATTTTAGAAGGGATATGCTGCATCTCAGAAATATTCAGTCTGTACAAGATGTCTTAGACTCACCATGTCTGAGATGTAAATGATATCTCCTTCTTCAAAGTACAGTTCATCTGGCTTTAAAAAGATAAAATAAAAAAGGAGAGTAAATAAAAATCTGAATTTGGGTGCTTAGGTAAACAAATACCTGGATAAAGCAGCGTACATTCGGCTCTTCTTTCAAAAGAACAAAAATTCTCCATCAACTGGACAATGGCCTGACAGTCTTTCATACTGTAGTTTGACTTGCCTACAGCTAGCTTTTTGGATCTGTGACCTTCCTGACAACTAGAGAAAAAGGCTGTGGCCTTTCCAACAGAGCACTGTGCAACAAAACCAGTGAAATGTATTTTGTGTTTATTAACATTCATCCCCTTTTTGGTTGGTCCCAGTTCATCAAATCTCTTAGTTCACAATTATCTTTGTTGCCTTTGGAAGAAAAGAAAAAAAAAAAAAAAATCACTTAGATTGCTGATCTTAGATTGCAGGTTACTGATACTAGAGAAGAAAGCGTACTGCTTTTAAGCAGAGCTGGACCGAAGAAAGGAGAGTGATGATTAATCAGGCAGTTTCAGTCACATTAGGAACTGATATCCATCAACAGGCTTTTTCATTGAACACATAGTACAGCAAGTCTAATAGGCCAACGGTAGCAGAACTGAAGAAATGTTATTATAGACAAGATTAAAATTAAGCTTCTCAAACCCCTAAAATCTAGACGTACTTACCGTTCTGGGCTCAAATGTATACAAGGCCCTGAAGACTTTAACCTGGCCTAAAAAAAAAAAAGAAGCAAACAGTATCAGTATTATGCTTTCCAAACACAGCATATGCATGCAGCCCTGAAATCCAAATAAATTCCTTTCCTTAATCCTTAAAGCTGCTTGCTGAAAGAATTTGTGCTATCCTTCTGCCAATGAAAATCATGGTGAAAAGACACAACCCAGCAGCACGTGTTCTGAAGGAAATGAGCCAACTGATCGGCTAAATCTAAGATGCCTCTTGTGCACACCTAACATGCTCATCATGCAAGTCAGCTAAAGTGTTGCCATCAGTTTCTGAGGCCAAGAGTAGTTGCAGTCATATACACCCTCACACACTCATACATGTTGTATATCTTTTTATTAATAATATCATTTGTCAAATGATACAGAATTAAGGAAAGAATAAAGAAACAAAACAATGACCAACGCCTGCAACATGTTCTCATACTTATTTGTAGTTCTTACTAACTAGGAAAATAATGCAGTAGCACAGAAATCATTGCATTTAAGAAAAATGACAAATGGTCAGCAAGTCCTATTTATGGAATGTACAACTGACATGGTGTTCTGTTCAGATGCTTAAAATAAGCTATAGTGTTTATAATTTCACTCAGTGGGCAACATTTATTTTAATAGGGCAGTTTTGAAGAGACTGTCAGCAGCATCCAAGCCAAGAAAAGATAACCTTAATGCAGAGCGGTACAAATTTAATTGCATAAACTGCAAAAAAAAAAAGCATCCCTATAAACATATTTTTAAAAATTCAATAAAGGCACCTTTCAAGAGCAGGAAGGCTAAGATAAGTACAGGGGAAGAAACACCTATCTTAATTTTATTAGCTGAACTGCTGAAGTCCACTGAATTCAATGGAAAAATACATTATGCAGACTGTTCTGTAGAATTTACTTTTATATATCTTAAGTCTTACGTATGTAGGTTTGTTTACTTTTAAATATCTTAAGTATGTAGCTCTATTTTGGGTTCCTACACTATACTTTACATGTTTATATAGATTAGCTTGTGACTGAAGCAGTACTAGGTCCATCAGGACAATGCACTTAGCCCAGGCTATTTTGTATTCTCAGAGAAACTGATGAACTTACTGCCAAAGCTTATACTGCACAATAATGTGCATAGACAAAATCCTGTGTGGTATATCATATGGAGAGAACTGAGTAATGGGAGAGTAGGCTTTCTCATATCTCAAGAATAAGCCTTTACCTTTCTGTAAAGAACCACCACTGCTAAAAATTTTTTTGCCTGTTTTTTGCTAGATGTAGTCTTTGTTACCCCAGTATCTAAAAGCCTATCCATGACAGTGATCATTTTAGAAAATTAACATAAGGGTTTCAGAAATGTCAGTCTAAATGTACATATGCTGACAGGCTTGTGAAAGGAGGATGGTACTCAACTGTACAAGCTGCCATTTTGCAGCATACCCCACAGTCTTGAGGTGGCTCTTAAAAGATGTTTTCAAATACCTCTGGATATTCCCTAGCAAGACACATGCCACACCACACAGTTATTAAGCGGTATTTATCAAGGTATAACTACTGAGCAAAACACTTCTGCAGTCCTCTGTCTCAGACTTTTTTGGGGCTAAGTGTATGTAAAAGTATAACCATAAAATTAATCCATGTAAACTTTCTGGATTGAGAAATGCATGTAGACACTGTATATATGATTTTTCTTCCGATTTGTAACTGTATCCCATGCTCCTCCCAGATATTATTTTTTTAATAACACCATAGAATTTCAGTTTGGCTTTACTGCTTCTCTCTCTCACACAGCAGCCATCTCCTAGACATAAAAGGTCCAACACGTCTCAGACCTTTGCCTCAGAAACTAAATACCTGCACTGTGGCAACAGCTAAAAAGGATGAAACCTCTGTTCTGTTTGTTACCCATAAGGAAATGATGAAAAAGGACAGTAGGCGGTAATGTGTCCTAGATCTAAGAGCTTCAGAATGAAATGTCTGAACTGTGGCTGGGGATAAGACAAACAAGAAGAAAAAAAGTGAAAAAAAAAAAGAAACAAGAACAAGAGAAGACAAAACCGGGTGAGTGACAAGAGTACTGTCCCTTCTCCTTGGCTTTCTTAAACAGATGACAGAAAAACTCAGGATAGAACTGCCCACTGACTCTGGCAACTGTAACCATCACCCAACAATTTTCAAGGTTTTATACAAGTAAAAGGAGGAAATTGACAACAAAACGGAAGAATAAGAAACATTAAAAGGGGAAATGAGAAGATGGCAGAAAACAGAGAAAAGCAAGAAATACACATTTGTGTGTGTCATATGCGTTTCCTGTAATACTGTACTGCATCTGTGTCAACAGGTTTTCTAAAGCTATCGCACCCAAAAGGAGAGGAAAAGAAGAATGGAAACACTGATGCTGATTAAAGTATTGCTGAAATGTTGTTTAAACAATTATTTATTTTTCATTTCTACACAACTGAAACAGAGAGTTACTTCCTCAAATGTCAAGCTGTGGTGTCACACACAGCACGACATATTCTAAAACATTTTCCTGTGATGAAATACCAAGTAGAGATTTGTATCTATAGAACTGCAGGTCTGGCTAACATTAGTTTTGCAGCATCTTATATGGGAGTTAAACACTACTCATTACTGGCACCAATCTTTTAAATATTTCTTGATAAACAGACATTAAGCCTGGTTATGTCACTGCATTTAAGAGCCAAGAACAGTAACATTTTAGCACTTGGCATGGCAATAATTACTTGTGCTAAATTCTAATGCAAAAAATCAGTCTGGAAGATTTAAAGTAAGAAAATGTAAGGATGCAAAGGGCACATTAAACTTGAACCCTTGTGCTCTGCAAACACCGATAAATTGTATTTTACTAGGCACATAAATACCTGTAATCACTTGTATTTCTATCTAGCAATGCCTATCCCTAGGCATGCAGACAGACTTAGAGCTTGTACTGGCCAGTGTCCCTTGGAATAAGCAAAAAGTTATAAAGTGCCCGAGGACCTCCTGTGCTCCTCCTTACTACCATCTCTCCACTATGAACCATGTTTCAAGATTCATGTCGGATGGAGTACTAATACATTAGCACTGATCTGAACTTACCAAAGTTGACTGACTGCACCTCCCCACTACGTACTGCTTGGAGGGCAAAAAAACTAGAATACAGAAGATGCCTGTACCTTTTTAAGATTTCAAGGCACCAGGCAAACATGAATGACTTTATTCTCAGCATGTCTGGTGAGGGGAGTATCCGTTTTAAAAACAAAGGAAGTGTACAGGGATCACACTACAGTAATCATACTACAGTGATGTGTCCCACAATCAGCCTTTTTCTAAGCGCAGAGACAAAATTTAAATGGTTCTTCTTTTCAATCCCATACTTTAGCCACAAGGCTATCTTTTCCCTTATCATGCAATTTGCATTAAACATCTGCAAAACAACTGTCTGATAAATAAAAAAGATAACCTGTTACACATACTAAACAGATACAAATATTCATAGCATACAAATTCCCCAATCCACAATTTGCCAAACCCTCCCCCCGCAACATAACAGGGTAAAGGAGTCAAACTAATGATTCTAACCAGCAACATAAACAAATGCCTTTATCAGGTTGGGCTGACCTCACACGCTTCGATTTATTTTGCATAACTTCTCCTATAAACTTCTTCTGCTTTTTATCATGAAAAGGAACAGGCCATGCAGATTTTTAATATGACCTTCTCCCAGACAAGTGCATAGAAGTAAAGAACTGAGGTGCTGAACAGTAACAGCAGCTTAAAAATGCAGCTTCTGATATGTACTAAACTGGAACAAGATCACTGCTGTGCTTTGTAAAGCAAAGTAACAAAAAAAGACCATTTTCTCAAAAGACTAGCAGCTTTTTGTTTCCTCCTAGCAATTCTGAGCTTTATTTTTAATTAATTGCAGTATCATTAACAGAAGATTGTTTCCAAAGAAGTGCTAAGTGTTTTCGTAACAAGGAGTTACTGTTTCTCTCACAGTGATGCTTTTTTTCCCACTTCCTTTCTGTTCTTTTACCCCAGCTTCTCTATACCACCACAGGCACTAGCATTAAAATCCCCTCCTTTACTCAGCTTGCCACCAAAGCATTCTCTCCTTTCCTCTTCTTTGCTTTCACCCGTTAAAGAAAAGAAAAGAAAGAAAAAAAAAAAAGAAAAAGCAGAGAGACCCATCTCTGCTTGGCATTACTTGTTTAGATACTTGAGTTAGGCTGAACTTCCAGCACCAAAGGGGAGGGAAAGCCATTTCATTAGCTGTCAATTTATTTTACTTCCTCAACCAAAAAAAAAGTATTTAGTGTAAGAGCCATTTATTTTAGTTAAGAAAATAACCATGTCATTAAGCCGATGTTCACAGGAGCTACCAAGAACTGGCCCCATCAGACTGGTACGAGTCTTTTGTCAGCATTTCACACCCTGCTTCGCCTGCCAGACAGACATAATCAAATCTCATTGATGCAAACAAGGTTCTACAAATCAGATATTCATCCTGATAGAGCATCTTTTGATTAGCTATACTGAGAGTGAGCAGCTCTAGACTACCATAAAAGTCAGAATAATCAACTTACTTTAGATAAACAGACTCACTGGGTATCACAAAGCACTATCAGTGCTTATAATACAGAGAAAGGGATAAACTCCGTGCGCTAGAAAATCAGAATTGGCCATGGTCATCTACAGATTAATTAAAAAACTTCAAGTCCATCAACTCCTACAAGGGTTCAAGCTAATCCTGGGCTAATTGTCAGCAGCCATCCTCCTCCTTGCTCCCATAAGGCTACACAGAAGCAGTTGAAAGTCAGGTACCCTCGCTAGCATCAACTTGAAACCACTGAACAACTAGATTGAAAACAAGTAATTTGCATCCCTACCTGTAGCAAATGGACCAAAAAGAGGAAATAGGCATAAGATTTGGGATGAGGGGAAGAAAAAGAACGGTTTGCATGTTCCAGTGTCTATGCTGGTTTTACAGTCACCTCCCAGAACAT